ACAGTTATGGCTGAAAATGTATAGATAATATAAAATTGTCCCTATATAATAAAATAATTATCTTTTTTGTTCACATTACTTTCTGAGGAATACTCTCAAGAAGCCGTAGCAAGCAAATGCTATCACAGTTCTGACGACGATCGCTGGTCTTGCAAGGCAAAAGATCAACGAGGCACATTCTCAATTCTTAAGCTTTTATTTCTAATCCCTCTCGTATTATGTCTTGTCGTACGTGTTTGTCTGTCCACTAATACTTTGTGTCTACGTCCTAATACCCAAGGGGTACGTTTCGGGTGCCAGGGGTCTGTTTCTCAAAAAAACTTAAGTTTTACTTAAGTGAAAAATTCCACTTAAGTAAAATATTTTACTTAAGTGAGTTTCTCAAAAACACTTAAGTATAATTTCCTGTTTACTTAAGTGAAATTATTCACTTAAGTAAAAAACTTAAGTTGTTTTGAGAAGCAGGCCGCACTTAAGTTGTTTTGAGAAACAGGCCCCAGGACCAAAATGTGTCCATGTGTGTTTTTCGTTTGTCTGCGACTAAGTTTAGGAACTACTAAAAAACCGCGGAAAAACTCAAAAAGAAAACATCGGACGGCCATTTTTCCATATTTTGAGCACAGACACACAGACAACCACCTTGTAAGACCCTGTACATGTTCGAATGACTCTACAAGCGATTTCACCACGATTTGCAATGAGAATTTTTTTGTTGAATTTCTGAATAGAGAGAAGAGATGGAGGAGTGCGAAATTACTAGCTGCAAAGCAAGATAGACCTACTGATTCATTTTGATCTGTCTAATCAAAGAAATAAAAGGCACCATTTCCGTAATTTGGAGAGTAAAGAGATCTACATCGTTTTGATATTAACTGATGCAACACAGAACTGGATGGTAGTCTGCATAGAAAAATGACACGCATCTAAAAGTGGGCCAGAAGATCGTTATTTTCCAGTTGCAGGGAACAAGAAAAGAGTAGCAAACAATTTGGATAGTCTGAAAATCAGAGAAAGATTGTGCAATTTTTACTCGTTATTCTGATAGTACGTACACTTCGAGCACTAAGAGTATTGGCTGAGATCTTGATAAATCTTTAAAAGAAATTTACAAGTCTGGAATAATTATGACGATGTGAAGAATTCCGAAGAGAAAATTAAGCAACAAAAGAACTAGATGTCACAGTACAACCATTGTAACAACGTTATAGTAACAATGGTACATTTTTCCCGTTTCAAACCACAGGTTTTCAGCATCTGTGGTTCACCAATGCCAAATAGTGTTTCTAACGATTGGTGGTCCCTGCGAAAGGAAAGCGATCTGGCGTTTCCGATTAGGCGGGGAAGTGGGGAACCTCGCCATCCTAAATTTTGACACTGTCCGCCAAACTTTTGGTCTCTGCAACAAAATGCAGATGTGCCAGGATTTGGTCACATCTGCATCAAATTCTGCGCAGATTTTTGCAGGTGTGATATTGTGTAATTTTTGTGCATACGTCAGAAAACTCATACCTAATCGATCTCTAGCTTTGTAGTAGACTTCTAGCTTGTTACGCTTGGCTCCAGCATGTTTTACTCGGACTTTTCCACGAGAACATGCTTCAATCGATTTTTAAAGTCTTCGTCAACCAGATGATGCTTCTATTATACGATAATCTCTATCTGAAAAGGAAAAATCAACATTAAGACCGAGTCAGAGAGCGTGCACAGCAACTGCGGCCATCTGAAATAACCATCAAGGATTTTTCTTAATTCAAGAATTCAGAAATTGAGCCAGACTTTTTAGTTTTTTCAGTTGAAAGAATACAAAAATTCCAAAATGAAAATGTGACTTTTCTCAATTTCTTGAATTCGAGAAAGCCAAAAATTCTTTGAATTTGTATCGAATCGGTTTGAACAATTCTTGGAATTCTAGTATTGAGGAATTGAAAGAATATATAAGTTTTAATTCAGAGACTAACAAATAGGAAGTCTCTTTGTAACCATAGTGCGGTATGGAGTGGAGTGGGACGATGAGAGTGAGCCACTACCCAACATTGAATCATACGCTACAGTTCACTCTGATGCTCGCAATTTGCCGATTTATGACTATTCCGAATATGTGAGTTCAAATCGATTCCATACATATTCACAGAATTTTTGACCTTTTTAGAATTCAAGAAATTTATAAAAAGTCACATTTCCGACTTTTCACTTATTGTAGTCTTTCAATTGAAAAAACTAAAAGATGTCTGTCAATTCCTGAATTATTGAATCGTTCTCGAATTGGAATTTATGAATTCCTGAGTTGTTTGAGTTAAGAAAAATCCGTGATGCTTATTTCTGAATGCTTGAATTGTTGAATTAACAAAAACCTTGATTTTTATTTCTGAATACTGGATGCTAATTCTGAATTTCTGAAATTTCAGAAACTGGAAAAACTCGATGCTATTTCTTGAATTCTTTCTGCTAATCTTGAAATTTTATCAATATAGAGTTCTATGAACTCGGTTGCCCCTTACTCCATATGTGAGATACAATAAAGAAGATACGCTATACGCTAAGGCTCTCTAATATTGTCATACAGAATACACGTGTGTATACACACATCTCCTCAACTGTTTCTATTCCCTTTACTTCTTTTTACAGTGATGTCCAGACTAGAAAAATTAACTTTGTGTTATATTAATGAAACTGATTGGCTTAAAAGTTAACTCTGAAAAAATCGTAGCCTAGACAAGGCCTAAGCTTGTTTCGCGCTAGCCCTCAAAATAGCCGTCAGCTGATGGATAGTGGTTATCTTGAACAAAGCCAGCCCTTAGTTCTAAAAATCTGCAAAATGACATAATGGCAGTATGGAAAGGCTTTAATTATGTTGATTTTGATCTTGTTTATGGGGTAAGATGTTTATCGGATAAAATTTAGTGGACTACTTCATACATCCTAAATTTTGAGAGTAAATCGAAAGAAAAAAAGAGTTTTTTGGTAACGACATCTGAAAGATTTCAGTTTCTCAGAATTCGTGATGAATCGATAACTTCGTAGTTGACGAATTGGAGTTATTCGCTGGCGGCCACCTTTGACGGGAAAAATTGATGGCTATATGCAAGGGAGAAACAAGCACGAAATAATTAGAATATGACGAGTAAATGACTGAACAAGCTAACACTCGTCTGTACTCGCTTGTTCCCTTGACTTTACGAGCTTATATCTGCGAACGACCTTCAATGCCTTTTGAATCCAAGACAACTCTCACGCTTCCCTTCGGTTGATGTTCGCTAGGAGATTATTAAAAATATGTTGTGAATTTTTCTGTGATTTGATGTGTAAGGTTTGTAAGGTAATGTAAATCTAAAAAGTTTTCTCGAGTCCCTCCAAAGATCCCTAGAGATCTAGAAATATTCCTAAATTCAAGACAATCCTTACGCCTCTCATCGGTTGGCATTCGCACTCAGGATACCTGAGAAATGTGGTGATTTGTCGCCCCACTACCGAAAAAGTATACTTAACCTTATTTTTCTCTGCATCAGTAGATATTTCAGATCATATCTTTAAATATTTTCTCTTTTTCTTCCTTATGATTGGCTTATCCATGGAATATGTGACAACCATTTTTCCATATTTCGCGGATAGGCACACACACAGGCAACCATTTTGTAAGACCCTAGACTAAAGTTAGAGGAACAGTATTAGAACCTCTTTTGGTTCAATAGAAATCAAAATCAGGGTAAAAAGCACGCTAAAATACTAAAAACAGTAATCGATATTTTTGACTTTTGTAATCGGTAGAAGAGGGTGAAGACGAAGCGGGCCAAAAATTTATTTGAAGCCATTTTGTAGAGCTCGATGAGTATTACACATGAGAGAAAAAGAAAAAAATTTGACGGAATATCTTTGGTGCTGAGGAGACTGAAAGTTGGCGATTTTTATCTATGATCCTAGATAGATGTAAATTCAAGAGAACAATATAAATTCTTGAGAAAGAAGAATAAAACAAAGTATCGTTACTTTCTCACTGAAATAAGACGAATCAATCAGAAAAGACGATAAAGTAGCACTAAAGTCAGTCTTAGCATTTAGCCCCGGCGTATCCTAGCCCAGCATAACTGAGATGAACGTCTTTGATTCCATAGGAAAACCGCAGAACACAATGTAATATAAAGCTAAAAAGTTTTCTGAAGATCCGAATGGGGCTGCAAGTATTTCTGATGGATTCCCCATGATAGATTCTTCTTTGTTTATTCAACTATTGCTGACTGGAATAATCTCCGAGAGCCAGTTATTTGTCTTTCTCCTTTAATGTCTTTCAAAACAGCTTTATGTCAGTATCTCTTCCCGTGAAACATTTGTTCTTTTTGGCTTATTTCTTTTTTTTATCTTATCAAAAATTTGTTCTTTTTTGCTACTTCTGGTACTAACCTTAATTGTCTTGTTTATTTTATTTTTTTATTACTCTTTTTGTGTTGTCTGGCTTGAGTCATTTATTATAGATCAGTGACCTTTGATAACCCTCACTTTTTGTGAATATAACAGTCTTAGTCTTAGTTTAGATTATCTATATTCTGTAACTTTGTGTGTAAAAAGAATTTTCAATTTTCTCCCTTGTGATTGGCTTATCCATAGAATATCTGACTGCCATTTTTTCGCATTTCGTGCACATACGGACAACCATTTTGTAAGATCCTAAACTAAACTAAAAATATATAAAGTTAAGGGAAAAAATTTAATATGTAATACTCGAAAGAAAATTAGCCAACTGCTGTTAAGTGGACTTAGATATAATATCACAACAATTCGAATTGTTATTGAAAGCTGAAACAACCCACTACTTTTTTTTGTTTGTCCTATTTCGTCATATTTATGTTATGTTACGAATGTTATTGCAACTCACTTGGCTAATGATGCAGAAAAGCCCAGCTGCGTTGTGGTTAGCTTCAAATGTTAATCGTCATAACAATTATCCTCTGTTTTGAAAGATGTTGAAAAAGGTATGAAATTATCATTTTCGATGAGAAATTCAGCTCATGATGCGCATCGGTAATTTTTTCGGCGTTTTTTCGCTCTTCCACGATAATAAACGAAGGTAAATGAAAACAGATCGTGTATAAGATAGCAATCAGATGATTATTTAGAGGATGAAAATCTCATATGGTGACGTTAAAATAAGCTAAACCCTTAAGCTTCTTGTCTTATGAGAGATATGTTGTTTTTTCTAGTAGAAGATTTAATCCTATATCGTTGTAAAAGGAAAACAGAGAAACATGACGCAGTCTCGTATGAAATAAACAAAAAGGAAATATCATATTGTCTATGCGTTAGCACAAATACAAATTATTATTATCCTAGATACTATGATATAAAAACCAGCGAATTGAGTAGTATCGTCGAGTGATGACATTGATTTTTAAGAGATGTGTCTTCCCTTTTGTTTCACTTGACTACTCTTATAATGGGTATTTTCTATTGTAATCAAGAGGCATGACTTTCTACTCCTATAGCTAATCTTATCTCTTTTCACATTTTATAGATAATGCAAACGAATGGTCACTCTAGATACATTGGATAATGCAGAAAATTTCAAGAATAACTAAATACTTCATTTAAATGAAGGTAAAAGGATTGTCATTGTATATTGCAACTATTCTATAGACATTGTATGATCTCTTTTTTTCCTAGATGATTTCAAACCATTAGAAAACGATGAAAATAGTGTTAGTAAATCAATCATGGATCCTTTCGATGTTGAAATGAATTTTAATATGTTAATAAATAATTTCGACAATGATGATGATAAAAATAATAGCAGTAAACTAGAGAATATCGACAATAATTTACTTTCACAAGAAACCAATGATGACAAAGATAAATATTCAAACGAAAAATCAGTGAAAGTAGAATATATTCAAACAATCATCAATGAACCAAAAAAAAATCATTCCAAAAAAAAGCAATTATTAAAAAAATATGCTCGTACCCGCTTTGGATTTATTAATGATCTTATACGAAAACAAGCCTGGCTCTATTTGATGGATTCACCCGATTACTGCAAATTGAAATTAAACACGGAAAACAATTCTCAACAATATTTTACATATGATGGAACATATTATAGTGCTGGTAATAAGCAAATAATCAATTTTAAAATAATGAGTTGTTATAACAAATTTTATATTTAATTTTAGAACGAAAAGAAATTGAAATGCATCGTGATTACGTTCAAGTTCGTAAGGATGTAGAACGAACACTTAAAAGATTTCTGCCAAGTAAGTGCTGACAAAAGAGCCCAAATAATTTTTTTCACTTTAAGAAAAATGTCATTATGTTCAGTTTTGCTGGCTAGAGTATTACGTACGTCTACTCCTTTCATCTTTAGATTATTCTCAAAATGAACGACTTGAATTACAAGAAATCTTGATTGATGTTATTATTAAATTACTTCTTAAACACGACAAATTAAACTATTACCAGGTAAAATGAATATTCACTTCTTTTTTTTTGTTTTAAATATTTATTGTTCTTACCTGTTAGGGATATCATGACATCTGTTTAACATTTTTATTAGTGCTTGGTGAAGAAAATTGTTTACCATTAATCGATACAATAACTGATACACATCTGACGTAAATGATTAGTGTTGATTCAAAAATCTATATGTCTAAAATATGTAATTGATTTTTATGTAGAGTTTTTATGGAACCGACAATGGATCAGACAATTGAACTGTTATACTATCTAATGCCTTTAGTAAATGCTATTAATAGTGAAGTGGCTGAACATATTCAAAGGTAAGATGAAAAATATTTATTTTACTTTTGATTCATTATCAAAGGTATAAAAACTGTATTAAAATTCTCTTGTCATACTCGTTTACACTCTCTTTGTACACTCTAATTTTGTTTTAGAAGTAATGTTGGTGTTATGTTTGCAGTGGGATGGATTATAACTTGGTTTACTCATGTTTTGGATAAATTAGAAACCGTTTTTCGTCTATATGATCTATTTGTTGCATCACACAAACTCATGCCAATTTATGTTGCAGCTGAAGTAGGTAGAATAACTGTCTCTTTTTCTCTCTCTTATTTTTGTATTCTGATTTCCTATTAGATTATAAATTTGAAAAGTGATCGTATACTAGAAACAGAATGTGAAATGACATGTTTACATCCATTATTAACTCGTTTACCATCGACATTAAAAGATGAGGAATTTGAATTAGTAATTGAACGAGCATTAACGTTATTTGATAAAATACATCCAGATACACTTGGATTATTAAATGATAATTGGAAAAAAAGATGGTAGGTCCAAAAAAAAAATCATACAGTTGTTTGAATTTAATCATTGGTCAATAAAAATATATTTTTGAAAAGAAATTGTCTAAACAGATTCTATTTTACAATGACTAAATTATTGATCTATATAAGTTAGATCTTTTGTTGAAAACTTGATCTGCTTATTAATCTTTCACATATTATTCTATGTTTTGTTTTAGTGAATCTATTAAATCGCAACCATGGCTATATGACGCGAGCAATGATGATGAAAATAAATCTTATAGCACTCTTCGACAACGTTCAGCTGCATTGACAGATGAGCAAGTTCAAAATATTCCACATTTTGTTTTGTGGAGTTTTACATTATCGGCCGGGATTGCTGCCATTTACATTTGGAACCAGACACAACGAAGCAATGATCTAACACAAATATTAGATTTAGGTGATCTTTTTTCGTTACTTTATGGCACACGATAAAATCGAGTATATTTTGTTCTTATTTTCTCTTTGTCAATTGCATTCCAAATTTATTTTTGTTTCTTTCTCTAGTTTTTTATTGTAAAAGTCGCTTTGTGGGATATTTAAAAGAAAATATTTTTATAATTATTACTGTATTTAGCTGTACATATTACGAGCATACAAGCTGACAAAATCTATTGTTCATGTATCATATCTATAGTCTACTTCTGTTCATTTCTTATCGTTGTATCGATCAATATATGATCTTCTTGTTTTTGTCTTTTTAAAAAAGATTATTTTTTCTAAATTATAACAATGAAATAAATAAAAGCAGTCTGTTTTATTTAGATTGATATATAAAATGTTTTGATATCTATCAAATCTATCGATGTTTAAGTTATACTTTTCTGAGCCGAGTTAAACTTCAAATTCTATGTTGGTGTCCTTGATTTTCATGTGACATAGTAAAATATTTTTCGTATCGATATTATCATAGATATAAAATATCTGCTTATTTAAAAAAAACAAATAAAAAGTGACAGTAAATATTTTTTGTATTTTTCATATTGCTTAGATAGAAATCATATCTAAACTTATCATTTTAGACGAAATATCTGTAGAAATGTATTTGTATTATAGTTTCTTCTATTCTTATTTCAAATTTGAGAGGTAAAAAATGACAACAGAACAAATAAACGGAGAATGTAGTCCGTTAGAAGAACATACAAATGATGAAGCAATTGTAGAAAACAATGAACAATATTTAGGAGATACCATTAATGGTAACAATATTAAAGTATCTTCAGATACTATCGAAGAATCAATTATTATTCCAGAAACATCGTCAGGTAATTCTAAATGATAATCTTGATTTATTGACATAATATAATATGATTCTATCTTCTGATCATGATCTATTGTCTTTTTTTCTTTTCATGTTAGACAATAATAATTCTCTTTCAAATCAACTACATAAATATCAAACTGAAATTGATCGTTTAAACTCTTCTATTTTGTCTCAAACCAATGAAATTGATCAACTAAATTCCAAACTTATTCTACAAGATCAAACGTATCAACAATTCGTCTCAAAACTCAAAGATGACTATCATAAAGAAAAACAAGTACAAGTTGTCAGATATGCACAATCGGAAAAACGTACACTTGATTTAGAGAAACGTTGTGAACAACTTACTCAAAAACAAACTGAATTACAACGTGACAAAGATGTATTACAACAAAAATTACAAGAATCTAAATCGTTAAATGTACGTATTCAACAAGCCTACGATTTAAAACTATCCGAAATTTCACAATTGAAAAAAGAACTAGATAAATTAAAAGAAACATCACAATCTGTCGATCAAACATTAAAATTAACATTGGCTCATTTAAAACAAGAAACACAAAAATTAAGAGAACAAAAAGATTTAAATGAACAAATCAAACGAGAACTAAATGAAGAAAAAGAAACTAATGAACAATTACGAAAACAATATAAAGAACCATCGGAATGTAAGTTTTATCATGGCATGGGACTATATTAGTACATTTTTTGAGCTTTTATTTTAGCACAACAACAAACGGTTATTCAAAGCTTAACATCATTATCGTCCAATGAACTGCAGTTATCAGATAATGATATAATAGATGATACAAAAAAACAACAATTAGATCCATATCAAATTTTAGAATTAAAATTAGATGAAAAAAGTGAACAATGTGATCAGTTAACAAGTGATCAAAATCAATTAAAAGTAAAAATAACAAATTTAATTGAAGAAAATTTATTGTTACAATCAAAAATAAAACTTTTAGAAGATGATAAATTATCGCTAGAAAATGTACGGGAAACAGATATTTTAAATACGAGAAAAGAAAAAGAGTCAAATCAAAAACTTTATGATAATTTACTCAAATTACATGAACAAGATTGTGTAGAATTAACTAGATTAAAAATGATTGAAGAAGATTACATAGGTAAGCATCTATGTAAAGTAGAATGATGAAAAGTTGTTTCAGACCCGTATCTGTACCAGTATCAGCATATATATATATATATAATACAAATATGAAAATAATATGAATTTGGATGGAATGAAGGTTTGAAAACAATCTAAACGCATAGAACTCTATGAAAAAGAGCTTTAAATAGTGTAATCGAAAAATCTCATCTTTTTAGTAAGTAACATTTTATTCATTCATCTGTAATTAATCATCATTCATATGCGTTCGATTCTTATGTTATTAAATGATTTCTATTTAACGTTTTTTTTTGTGTGTGTCTTATTTAGAATTGAAAGATGATTATGAACAATATCGAAATAAAAAAAGTGAATTGTTAGAATTTACCCAGAAATTAACCGAATTAAATTCGGTCATTCAAAGTGATTATGAACAATTGAATTCCAAATATCAATCAATTGAAAAACAGTATAAACACATCAATCAGTTATATAAAGAACAGCAGATGAAAAAGAATGAATTAGAAAATGAATTACGAACTGTAAAACAAGATTATGATAATTCAAAGTTAAAATATGTGGAATTATTGCATAAATATGACATATGTATCAAACAATATGAAGATGAAAAAATAGAAAATCAAAGTTTAAGAAAAAAGCATCAAATAAATAACAAAGATTTAATTAAACAAATACAACAATTACAGAAAAAATCAAATGATTTTAGTCAATCACCAACAGTTATCAAGTAGGAGGTCTTCAATTTCAAACTGTAGATTCAATATCTTACTTATGAGTAAAAATAGCAGTGAAAAAAATGCTCTCTATATTCTTTCTAGTTCAAGACAAAATTTGCTCGTTCGAAAAGAAAATGATGATGGTGGTTCATCGCTTGGTTCTCGTACCAGTTCTTCTTGTTCATTAAATGATCAATCATCATCCATCAATACAACAACTATTCAAGATCAAATAACAAACGAACAACAAAATAATGATTCTGAAGAAATTGTGGTGAATGTTTTTGATATTGATCGTCAAAAACTCATTGATAAACTTCTCAAACAACAAAAATTATTAGTTCGACGTAATGAAAAAATTGAATTTTTAAATGATCATATTTTTGTTTTAACTCAAGATTTACAAAATAAACGAAAAATTATTCAAGCTTATGCAATAAATGAAGATATATCTATGTATTCATTAAATACTGCCGATAATATGAAACAAGAATTAATATCGAAAAAAAATACTTCAAATTCATTAATGGCCACATTGTATACACATGCAACAAATCCATTTCATTTGTTAAATGGGAGTGGACATAAAACGTCGAAACAATCCGAAATGACAGTAGAAACAAGTGATGATATCATAAATAGATTGCAAGCAGCTTTAGAAGAGACACTATTAAAAAATATTACATTGAAAGAAAATATAGATACGTTAACTAAAGAAATTGAACAATTGAACAAATCATGACATTTATCTCTGTTTAAAGCATATATTTTTTTAATGTGACACTTGTTAGACTGACGCACTTATTCTCTTTTTTTTTTTAAGAAGATCTGAAAACATGCAAATCAAAATCTCGTTAAATTCTTCTGAATTTTTTTCTTCCAAATTTTTACTAAATCCTGGTTTTCCAAAACAAATTCGATAAAATTTACTCTGTTAGAACGTACTAAATGTAGCTTGAAAATCTTGAATTTCTTTCTCAATTTCTAGAACGTTCAACCAATAAGGTATATGTGAAGATGTTTTCAATTTAATCTAAACTTTTTAGTTAAAAATATCAAAATAAATATTTTTGTTTAAGTTCTGATGATCTTGTTTTGTAGTTAGTCAGACTTCTATCTATTTTATGTTGTGCAATTATTATTATTATTTTTTACTAACATTTCTTTCCAATTCAACGATCTGATCTTTAGAGGTGTTTTTAGTTTATACTTGTTATTTTCTCATTATATGTGTGAAAAAAGATAAAATTTTATTTTTATTTATTTTTGTGAATAATAAATAAACAAAAGTATCACTTAACATCTTTTTTTTTATTATTATTGATAAGCTACCCTATTAAGAGAGTCAAAAAGAGCCGTGATCTACTGACATGGAAATAGCGAAATTCGTAAACACAGTAGCTAAATGACTAAAAGAATGTAGAAGAATTTCTATGCTTTTACTATACGATGTATAATATAAAAGTTTGTAATAATACTATACTCTATTTGTATTTATTTCTCAATAATCAAAATCTTCCATCAAACATCTGTATAACGCAAGACACAAGACTAGATCTTATCCAGTGATGTCAACGATGAACCTAGATAAATAAAGAACTTACACGTAATAGAATAGATCGCATTGTCCAAATAACATGTATTACACATAAATGTTCGATAATAATTATTGAAACAACTGCGATGTCGTAGATCAAAAAATGGTTAGCAAAAGAGTATAACAGATGAATATTATATCAATCACAATATATTATACAGAAAAAAAAATCATTCGAACGCATTTTTCGAATCAGAATGATCCTGAGAAGGGATCTAAACTTTATTTTATTTTACTGAGAGAGAAAAACATATTCCGACGCATTTGAAGAAAATAAAGTTTTAGAATGTAACAAATGTCTTGAAACATTTTCTAGACGTGTTTCTCATAGTTAAGATGAAAATTGCACTTTGAAAGAACGATGAAAATTGTTAACGCATTTGAACACGCTGATTAGTGGAAAACTAGAAACATAATGTGTTTGGACATGTTTTCTGTTCTTTCGTGATTATTTATATCGAGATGAAAATATACAAGTTTGAACGTTCATTTCCCCCCCACCCCCAAATTAGCACATTTTTTTTCTAGTGTATAGTTATGTCAAACTAACGACTTAAACGATTTATTATTAAAACCCCACAGAGTTTAGATTCGAATCAATGTGTCACATTATTAAAATAGCGACGATTGAATATCAATAACTACTGACAACTATCACTCAATTTACTTTTTTTCGTTTGACATCATCACTGGATTCCATTATTCAATCAAATTTACTTGCCTAATTAAAGATCTTATGTGATAAAAGACCTTCATTTTCAACTATCACCTAGATACGAAACAAAAACCGTTTAAAAGCGAAACAGTTTCATGAACATGAACTATACATGTAAAATGAAATGCTGTAAATGTTGTTATTTTTGTTTTCTGTTGTTGTTGTATTATAAACAATAATGATATGTTGTCTATTAGGAGTATACACTTAAATGATCTGATTTTTTAGATGCATAATTTTTGCTCTCTCTCTCTCTCATCTCATTTCTATCGTATTTTAGATGCCGTTAATGAAATCTGATTCATCATCCGAAACAAATGAGGCACGTGAAGCATTAGAATGTTTAAATGATTTATCACAATTATTAAATACTGGATTAGATAAAAAAACTTTAACATGTTGTATCAGACTATTGGAAAGTGGTGTACATCCAGATGCATTAGCACAAATAATTCAAGTATTAAGAAATGAAACACGAACAAAACTTTGATGATATTATGATATATATGTACACTTTTTTATGATTTCATCACTCTTGTAAATATTTTTTTCATAACTGTATTAACAAAATAAATAGTTGAGTGTATCACTATGCTATTTATACGACTATATTTCTGATATCCTTCTCAAGAATTGATTATCATCAAATATTGTCAAACATAATAGTTCTCAGATCCACTCTCAAGAATCAGCTATAAATATATATACGAAATCAATTGAGATCTCTTATCAATAGATAAAAGACAATTTGAAGTAGGTAAGTAGTTAGATAATTGAATAATTGTACTTCAAAAGACTGAACTATTGATATTCAACTATACATTTGATAAAATATTCTATGGTGGGTTATAGAGAAGTATGACATGACCCAATGTCATGAATTCTATTTACTGTTGTCATATTTTATATCTATTTATAACAGAAAATGGCATACTTTCGTCAAAAAGCAATTAACAAAAAAATATTATTTTTAAATATTCAGTGGTTTTTCAGCTTTTATCACCAAAAAACAAAACCGATAACTAATAAAACATTGTACAATTTAGACCACAAAAAGAAATGGTTTGACTTTTCATGGATAAGATGTAGGAAGAAAAAAACCCCATTGTCTTCCAGTAACTCGAATCGTTATGATTATCATCCATCTAGAGAACTCATTCATTTTTTTCTTCTTCTCTATCTGTACCGTATATGTCTCGCCTTCTTTTCTTTTTTTTAAAAAGAATTTTCGCTTCTTATGCAAAGAGAAGAGATAAAAATAAAAATAAAAAAAAAAAACATCTTTTTTTCTTTCTTCATAAAAACAGTTAGTTATCCGAACAAGCGTAGAGATATTTACTCCTACTTAATAGAATCTCTATAAAAAAAAAAGATATCAGTTTTTTTTCTTCTTCTATACTGAAAAGTCCTTGATAGTATCGTACATAAATTGTACAGTGATAGATCATATATCATTGATATGTAAAGAATAAGAAATTAACTACATCGCATATATATTTTTTTCTGACGATATATTTACTTTAGAAGGAAAAATATAACTGATTATTAAATAAACATACATCTATTTTGATAATAAAAAAACATGTTTTTAAACAATGAGCGATCGAACAATTTTTTTTGAATTTGTTAAAAAAATATATATATTGTTTAAAATATGTTTTTTATGAGATAAGAGAAAGTGAAAAATATGAAAATTTTCTCTAAAACTTACCATTTATATCTAAAAACATTTTTCAGAACGTAATTTTGTCTAATTTATGGATATAATTGTTATTTGTCTTTTTTTGCAGAAAACTTTGTATTCACCTCAAAATTCTTGGCAATTATAACAGAAACATTTTCTATTAGAGAACGAATAGTGAGAGTGAGATGAGAGACTAGATAAAAACATGTGATATTCATTTTGATCGTTTCAAATTTTTTTTCTCGTCATAATCTATGATTTAAAATAGTTTTTCTATACACATAGAAATTTAGTCGGCTTTGCGCTTAGAAAATACTGAAAAGTTGAATATTACCATCTAATCAATGAATTTTACATACGATAAATATTTTGCATGTGACCAATACCAAATACTTTTCCCATACATTCTATTACATATAGTTCAATATATTTATATTTCTCCTTTTTCCTTGACACATTGTTATTTTTCTCATTAAAAAGATTGTTTTGTTGTTGATTCTAACTACATGCTCTAAAAAGACGACGACTACTCTATTAATCATGAGAACGACTTGTAATACTCAATCAGGCATACATAACAGAACAATTATCAGAAGACTTTTTCAGCCTATGTACAACTTTTATTATGGATGCGTTTATATAAAAAAAAACACACACACACAATTTTTTTATCTTTTTTTCCGAGATATACAGGCAATTTTTCTTCTTTCTTTCTTCTTTTGGTAGTGATGATGTTGATCTTTTGGAATAATCGAGCTGGCGTCTACTATTTTCATCAGTAATATACACTTATTATTAAGACCTTCTTTTTTTCTTCTCTTAGAGTGTGTGTATTTCTAAGGGACAACAACAACAACAACAATAACAGGCTTGCTTTACATGAAAAATGCTGCTTAACGCCTATTAGAAAAATAATAAGAAACAAAAAGAAAAGAAGATTATTTAATACTCGAACCACACAAAGGTACAAAGTAAGTTCGCTAGTACGACTATGTTACAGTTTAGAAATCTTTGAGAGTATGTCATTTGTATAGTTTGAACCGTTATCGTACCATTTTATTTTATCTAGTGTTACATTCAAACAATCTCTAGCTTTCTTGTAATTCCCATGTGTTCTTTTAGAAAAATAAACTTCATACATTTATTTATTCATTCATTCATAATACACGTTTTTCAATGAATAATTATTATACAGATAGGAAAGATTTTGTGATGCTTTTTCCAATCTAAAGGATTTCTGCAAAAATAGAAGAAATATTTTAGTAGACCATTGTAACCATATCATCATTATTCAGAAAAATCCATTTTAAGTTAAAAGTTTTGAATCAAGTCCAGTATAATATAAGATATAATCAAGTAAAAAATATCTGTTTTGTTGACGATTTAATAAGTATTTTATTAAAATAAATTGTACTTTTATTTGACGAAATCTATAATATGACATATTTACTTCACACAAATTTTTTCACTTGTAAACTTAACGTATATTTTTGTGACTACATTTTTTTTCTCTTATAATTACAAGTTGTACATTGACACTCTATATAAATGATATAATATTTTTTTTCTTTTGGATTGATTCATGTGATTATTTTTATTTTCAAGATTTCTTTAGTTCTTGAAAGTTTTTTTTAACATTTTTTCTGTGATTTAGCAAGGAAACAATAGCATGAGATATTTGATAATAAGATTTCAGTTTAATAGGATAAAGAAAAAAAGCAAACTACATTAATAAGATATCACAGACAAGTGAATAGTAGAACTTTGATCCATAATCTTCATCAATGGTGATGTCTTATATTCTGTTGAGTATCTAGTAGTTGAGTACATTGAGCAACATCCATATCGAATTAAAAATGTCAGAGTTGTTTAATTATTCTACATTATTTTCTTTCTTTCTTTCTACATATGTATTAAATGTATATGTCAGTTATGCCGAAATAGTAAATTGATACATGACATGGTCCATTTCATAGTTCAATAGATATCTATAATTTCTTCGACGACATGTAATCTATTCTTCTTTTATGTACTCTAGATTAACAGCAGTCAGTCAACTATAATAAAACAATGCGTTCATCATCATTAGATTATCATCGTTCATCCTCTTTACATCATAATAATAGTGGTCCCAGTCTTCATAATTCAACAGGATACGATAGTTATAATCACACATCTGGTGGAGCATCAGATAGACAGCAATTCAAGGATAATTATCAAAATAGAGTAAGTTATTAATGTAAAATGATATTATAATTCATAATTTCAATTTGTTTTAGTATGCATGGTTAGAAAAAAATCATGTAAATGAAGTTGGTTCAACGTACAATCGATTAGGTAAAACTGTTGGTCATAAACCAAGTTTCTGGCGATGTGAAGATCAAGCAATTGCTGGAAAGTAAGACTTTTTTTATATATCTAGATGAGATCAACTTTTAACATTATTTATACATTGATTACAGAGAATTTCAACGCTTGAATGATGAATGTGCCGATAAAATTTGGGACATACGGGATAAAAGTGATATGTCGAGAGAATGGCTTCTTGATGCTGATGGTGTTGCACCACGATTTTATCAAATGGAAGCCGATGCCGTAAGATGATTTTCCATTCTGTTAAAAGATGAACATGACAACACCATTTGTTTCTTGTCTCATTTTAGTTAAAAAACCGATATGAATTAAATAATATGAAAAGAAAGTTAGAAAATATTAAAGCGATGCGTACACGATTATTAAAATAAAAAGAAATAATCAATTTGCTTGAAGACGCACCAAAAAAAAATATTGTAAACAACGTTTCTTTTTATATGTTTCATTATTACTAAAAAGTATCTCATATTTATTAAAGTATCAAAAATTACGAGCGACTGCTATATAATTGTACAGAACTGGTATCGGTCAAGAATATCCCCTTCCATTATCGATGTGTATGGTTTCTACCTTGAGCAGAGACCATAAACTTCTACCTTCTTTTCTCTCTCACTCTCTCTCTCTTTCTGTCCATCTATAACCACATGAATTACATCGTGAAAATATACGTTCAAAAGAAGAAAAACAACAATATCAACAACTGAGTATCGATATTCTTATTCTTTTCATTTGTGTGTGTATCGGTGAAGTCCATTTGTATTTGTGTATTTAATTTCTTTTTCTAATTTGTTCCTAAACCCAAAATGAAATAAAAGTTTAGTTTCTTCTTCTCTAGAACAGTCAATTTAGTTTTTTGTTGTTGATTTTTCATTGGAAATAATAAATTAACAGTAAAATACTTTATATAGATTAAAAAGATGTGTGACGGTGAAAGACATCAAAATATGATACAGAAACTTGAATAGAAACATATACAACAGTGTCTAAATGACTCTAATATAGATTAAAATTTTGATATGCTAGTTGTCTCCTAAAAGTGAACTCCGTAATCAAAAAGACAGCTTATTATAATCATTAATGTTGAAAGAGAGATATGAATTTGAATTGTACGAAGAGATGTATATTTCGAACCGTTTTTGTTCGAATTAGAAGCCTAATTACTCCGCCAACAAACCGACGGTCGTCTAGAATAACGCATGATAAACAAATTCAAAAACCTTACTATTCCCTAAAGTCTGCTTCGGGGTCATTTTTTCCCCGTACCTCTGACGACTGGAATGTGCTACCATGCACTGTTGT